ACTACATATATGTACCTCGGGTACATATATGTAGTACCTGATACGACAACGACCCTTCGTGCGCCAGTAACCGCATTATTTATGATACAACTTATACTTCTACTGCACATTTACGCTGGCATCATTTTACAGGTGCACTGACCGTGTCGTGTGTCTGATTAAGCGACACGTGCGATCACATGGATACACCTATGTATGCGTGCGTGCGTGTGTGCGCGCGTGTGTGTGTGTGTGTGCGCGTGTGCGTACGTGTGTGGGAGTGTGTGCGTGCTTGCGTGTGTATGTGTGTTTGTGCGTGCGTGCGGGCGTGCGTGCGTGCGTGCGTGCGTGCGTGCGTGCGTGCTGTAACAGCGCGCGTGTTACAGTGCGTATGTGAGAGCATGCTTGCATGTGTGCGTGTATGTGCGTGCGTGCAAGTGTATGTGCGTGCGTGCACTGATGCACTTACACATGCGCTGAGAATGAACACATAAAACACGGGGGGTTGTTCTCGTGCCATAAAACATTTTTATATGCAACTCTTTACTTGTACAGACAATGCTAAGAAGAATGCACACTAACAGCAGGCAGTAGAGAGAGCAGTTGCCCTAATTGATCATTTGCACAATCATCGCAGCTTTGCCGAGCTGAGCCCATGATCTCATACTTTACATACTTCACTGGCAGACAGGTGAAACACCGGAACCCTGAATGCACTCACATCTTTCATATGCTACTGATTGAGACATACCAGATATTGGAAATCGTCTGAATACGTTCTTTGATCTACAGATTTAGATGTTTCTGACATATTAGATCTACGGATTTAGAGATTTCTGACATCTTATATCCATGAATTTACACACCTCGAATACCTTAGATCTATGTATGAATTTACACATCAAGGAAATCGTAAATATACAGATTCCGACATCTGGGATATCTTTTAAATATACGGATATAGACATCTGGGATATCTTACACATATACGGATATAGACATCTGGAATATCTTAGATCTCGAAATTTAGATATATTTGGGGCATCTTAGATCTAGAAATTTAAACACCTGGGATATCTTAGAACTAGAGATACAGACATCTGGGATATCTTAGATCTAGAGATACAAACACCTGGGATATCTTAGATCTAGAGATATAGACATCTGGGATATCTTAGATCTAGAGATACAGACATCTGGGATATCTTAGATCTAGATATACAGACACCTGGGATATTTTAGATCTAGCCATTTAGATACCTGGCATATCTTAGATCTAGAGATATAGACACCTGGGATATTTTAGATCTAGAGATTTAGATACCTGGGATATTTTAGATCTAGAGAGGCGAACGCAGGGCCTGGAGACCCTAATAGAGTGGCACGCATTTCAGCAGTGTCAATTACTCATGCCCATTTACGATTGAATTTTACCCTATATGAATGAGAATTTATGGGGGCTGTGTCGCGTGGATCATATAATGCACGATAGAGGCGAGCCGCTTGAATTGGTGTCTATAATAATTATTACGAAGGTTACTGCACACTGGCACACAGCTCATGGCTGTAGCCTGTGGGATGGAGGGGGGGTCGGAGGGCTAAGGGAGGCAGTTGTCCCCCCCCTAGATTTTGGAAGCAAAATTAAAAAATAAGCTTAGCTGATAATCGTCATATAAATCCTAACGTGACTTTTTTTTGGTCACTTTCCGTGAAACGACTTGTCTGAGACGGCCACCCTATATATCACTACTATGGGCGTCGATCAAGAGCTGTCGCCGTCGCTGCATTTTTTACACAGTTGATCATAAAATTTTGCCCCCACCCCCAGGAATTTTTCGTCAGCCTTACGGCGTCTGTCGGGCAGCTAGTACGAAGTATGTGTCATAGTGAGCCTCTCATTCCCAGTCGGCGAGTGGCCATAGGTATACTATACAGACTACTAGTAGATACATAAAGATCTATTACTGATTCACTCCTCATTATCACATTTATATAAGTGTAGGTTCATTGGCCCGATACGTAGCATAAGTGCCAGTACCTATACGTTGATGACGACAGTAAGGTCAAGTTTGATCGGGAGAAAGAGAGGAATCTAAAGAATAAATAGAAATAGAGAAAGAGAAAGAGAATTGTGGAGGGACGGAGTAAGTGGAATGCGAGATAGCGAAGCGAGTAGAGGAAGAGGGGATGTAGAGGAAGATGACGGCGATGACAGGGGAAGAGAAAGTGAAGAGGAAGGAGAAAGAGGAAGGGGACGAGCAGTGGCCGTAGTTAGGGGGGCCAAAGGGGGCCATGAAGTAAATAAAAAAAAGATTAATTTTGTTTTTCTACAAAATGACAATTGCCGTTGTCGGAAGAATGGCTGTATCATGTACTCAAAGGTGGCTCAAATACCATCGCCTGTGATGCCTACATTTTTCAAAACATTTTTTCTGGGGGAGGAACCCCGCCCCCCGCCTGTGTGTTCACACGCCTCTTTGGAATCCTGCATCGCCACTGAACAGTTACATATCTTGAGAGCAGAGAACAACGAACAAAAATGTGCGCTTTTGCTGGCGCCTAAAACAAAGATTGCAGAGCTGAGGCGGGGGAGCATAGGGTGTGCAATATTAAAATATTAAGTATGATGCACTATTTGCGCAGTTCGCTGTTTTTGCCCCCCGCCCGCCCGTTTAAAAAATCCTGGCTACGTCACTGGAAAGACGAAGAGGAATCGCGATGTAGGACGAAGTTCGAAGACGAAGCAAGAAGAATACGACAGCAGAAACAGGAAAAAGGAGAGGAATAAAGAGCAGTAAGACAACTGACGGCTCGTTGCGGGCGCCGACGAACAGAAAAAGATGTACTCACATGACGTTACGAGATGAAATGTGAATAAACAATACTACCGGATACAGAAATCCCAAACATATATATATTATATATATATATATATATATATACTATACACTCCTCAATCGATACGCGGGATCCAAGTATGATATATATTCAGACATGAGTGTGGCAAGGCTATATTATTTAGAGCAGACGCGGTCGTTTGTAATTCTATTGCGAGCCTGCATACTATTGTTATAGCTGTTATTGTCTAGAAGCACGTGCGCATAGCAGTAGCGGGCTGAAGGGGTGTTGTCCGTATCAGGTACTACATATAGTGTACCGAGCTACATATATGTATACACAAAGTGTACCAGACTTGTACTAGAGAAGTTGCCCTAACGCCAACCCTAAACATACCTCATATAAAAATATACGAACATAATACAAACAACCTAAAACTCCCGTCGGGTACATATATGTAGTACCTTGATACGACAACGACCTCTTCAGGCGCTACTGGCGCTTATTTATGATACAACTTATACTTCTACGCACTTTGCGCTGGCATCGATTTTAGCGGTGTCACTGACCGTGTCCGTGTTGTCTGATTAAGCGACACGTTGCGATCTACATGGATAACTCTGTGAGCGTGCTGCGTGTGTGCGCTGCGTGTGTGTGTGTGTGCTGCGCGTGTGCGTACGTGTGTGGAGTGTGTGGCGTGCTTGGCGTGTGCTATAGTGTGTTTGTGCGTGCGTGCGGGCGTGGGTGTGCGTGCGTATGTGAGAGCATGCTTGCATGTGTGCGTGCGTGCGTGCAAGTGGTATTGCGTGGCGTGCAGCTGATGCAGCTTATCACATTGCGCTGAGAATGAAACACGAAAACACGGGGGTTGTTCTTCGTGCCATAAAACCCTTTTTAATATGCAACTCTTTACTTTGTACAGACAAAGGGGGGGGGGGGGGGGGGGCCGGGGGGGGTGCTAAGAGAATGAACACTAACAGCAGGCAGTAGAGAAGAGCAGTTGTCCTAATTGATCATTTGCACAATCATCGCAGCTTTGCCGAGCTGTAGCCCATTGACTCATACTTTACAGTACTTCACTGGCAGACAGGTGAAACACCGAACCCTGAGATCACTGCACATCTTTGCATATGCGCTACTGAATTGAGACATACAGATAATTGGAAAATCGTCTGAATACGGTTCTTGTTGATCTAACAGATTTAGATGTTTCTGACATATTCGATTTACGGATTTAGAGATTTTCTGACATCTTATATCGCATGAATTTACACACCTTCAGAATACCTTAAGATCTATGTAATGAATTTACCTCGAAGGAAATGTAACTATATCAGATTCCGACATCTGGGATATGTTTAATATAGGAGATATAGACATCTGGAATCTTATCACATATACGGATATTAGACAGTCTTGAATATCTTAGATCTCGAAATTTAGATATATTTGGGGCATGCTTAGATGCTAGAATTAAAACCCTGGGATATCTTAGAACTAGAGATCCAGACATCTGGATATCTTAGATCTGATGATACAAACACCGGGATATCTTAGATTCTAGAGATATAACCCATCTGGGATATCTTAGATCTAGAGATACCGACATTCTGGGAATTATGCTTAGATCTAGCCGATAGTAGAATCTGGGTTTTATTTTAGATCTAGATATAGCAGACACCTGGGGATATTTTAGATCTAGCCATTTAGATACCTGGGATATCTTACGATCTAGAGAATAAGACAGCGGTACCGTGGGATATTTTAGATCTAGAGATTTAGATACCTGGGATATTTTAGATCTAGAGATTTAGACACCTGGCATATCTTAGATTTAGAGATTTAGACACATGGGATATCTTAGATCTAGATATCTATTAGTATCCACGTTTGTTTCCCCCTAAGAGAATCTACATCCTGTCGTCTGTCATCTCCAGAAATTGGGCGTAGACGTCACGTGAGCACTCGCCTTTCGCGTTGAACAGAAACTTGTAGTAACTTCCGTCTGCGCAGATCACTGCAATGAAACACAGATAGATATTAGACACATGCCATCGTCGTGTGAACCAGAGCGAGCTAAAATCTAAAATCTGAATTTCATGCCCTTGTAACATGTGATGTGCCGACGTTTACATAGAGTAGTCAGTGGGGAAGCTAACTAGGGCTGTCTTTAGTGATAGTCTAATCGTAGACACCGCGTCGCGCATCGCTTGTTTGCCGGCTACATTTGATCGTTATTAGGGGGAAATTGTAAACGGTGTTTAGGGTCGAACGTTCTATAGGGTGACTGTGAAATGGGTGGTGAGCAGAGCGGGTGTAGACATGTGGGATTATGGCGGGGTTTTGGAGACGGAAGAGAGATGTAGGGGTCGGGAGTCTGGTTGTGGTCGCGAGAGTAAGCGCACGCTCTTACGCGCGTGTACGCGTTTCTTTGTTCCTTTGTGCAAGATGAACACACTGTGTGTAAGAAATTAAAGTTTATTCAGGTTACCACACAAGTTTGGATTTCTAATATCATCATTTATACATTTAAAACTTTTAATTCAACGTTACGCCCCGATCTCACAGCGCACCTATCACAGCAGTTGGATCCGAACCGAA